TTTATCGATATGAAGCAATTTTTTTACGTAATACTTATTAACATAATATGTTTAAGGTGTATGCAGCTGACGGAATGCCACAAATGATATGCAATATGTGTCGTTGGAATTTGGACAGATCTTATAAATTTAAGCTTCAGTGCAAAAAGGCAGATGAAGCGTTGAGAGCTTATCCATTGTCTGGTGTCTTACCAAGACCATTTCCACCAATTTCAAATGATCCTCCTGATATGAACAATAAACGACCTTTGGAGCAAAGATCTCAAAACGATGGAAGTAAAAAGCCTCGAGTTGATAGTTGTGATAGGGAAAGACGAGAAACACGAGAAAGAGATAGAGAAAGGGAAAGGGATAGGGATCGAGAAAGAGAAAGGGAAAGGGAAAAAGAAAGAGAAAGAGATAGGGAACGTGAAAGGGATAGGGACCGTGACAGGGAAAGAGAAAGAGAAAGAGATAGGGAACGTGAAAGAGATAGGCAAGTAGAAAAACAAAGAGACAAAGAGGATCAACATGATTTTTATCATGAGGAGGAACAAGATGCTGGCAGTGAAGGAGATCAGGATACAAATAGTACTAAAGAGGAGCGAAAATTAGAGCCAGGTGAGATAAGAGTACATGCATGTGATCAATGTGATCGTACTTTTCCACTACGACAGGCTCTTGCTTTGCACGTTCAACGAGCTCATCGTGATCGAAATTATAAATGTACAGAATGTGATCGTATGTTCTTTTCTAAATATGATCTTGGGAAACATATGACTACGCATTCAGAAGAGAAACCATTCTCTTGTCCGATATGTAACAAACAATTCTCAAGGGCAAATTTGTTACAACGTCATGAAAAGGTTCATAGAGATGAATTGCGTTATGGTTGTCAGCATTGTGATCGCGAATTCTTTACAACCGAAGAATTAGAAAAGCATGAGGATTCCGTACATAAAAAGGACAAACCTTTCCAATGTAACATTTGCAACAAACGTTTCACATACAAACAGGGTTTGGAACGTCATGAGGTACTACATAACGAAGATAAGACTTTTGTTTGCGAATATTGTAAGGAAGCGTTCCGTACAAGTACGAAGCTAGCTCGTCATTTAACGACGCATGCTGGACATCGACCATATTTATGTAAACTATGCCCTCGTTCATTCCTCCTATCTCATCATTTAACTAGACATATGCGAACACATTCTGTAGAAAAGCGCCATGTTTGCGAAGATTGCGGTAAAGCATTCAAGCGTAAAGAGAGTTTGGAGGTACATCAGTTAACGCACACAAAACGCACAGGTATGGGATTGACATGTGATGTCTGCCAGGAATCATGCAGAAATAGAGCAGATTATGTCACACATATAAAACAACATATTGAAGCAGGTGAAAAAATGGGACCAGATGGATTACAACCAGACAATAAAACTAAACTTGATTTGGATTCTGACGAAGATGAAGAAGAAGAACAATATTCAGATGGAGATGATGATTACGAACCACCAGCATATATTGTGAAAAAGCTTCCAAAACCACTTAAGCCATCAGAAAGCGAAGAGGAACAAGAAAGATCAGAAAAGGAGGAAAATCAAAAAGAACAAGTTGTATATGTAAGACATAAAGATGGAAATATGATTAAAAAGACAATTAAAACTTTGATGCCTATTCAGCGTAGGGAGGTACAAGACAGCAAGATAAAACAAAGTCCAGCTATTAATCAATCTCAATCAGCTACAAAACCTCCACAGTCTAAACAAAATGAAGAACCTTCAAAGTCTTCCCGCGTTGATGAAACTGAAGCGCAGGTTCAAAAAATTGTTGCATCTGTGTTTAAGGAGCATAAGATACCTCTGAAACATCAAAATGTTCAAGAACAAAATAAAGAATCATCTACACCTACGAATCAATTAAGACCTCAACAAGGACAAAGTAGTTCACAAAATCAAATTTCTACGAAAGACGAAAAATCTGAAATTCCTATAGCGGTCAGTAATACACCAAAAGCTGTGAACACTGTTAAAGTAATAAAGAGAATCGTTGTGAGAAAACCTGGTAATACTGAGACTAGTACATCTACAGCAAAAGATGAAGATGCAACTGGTAGCACTTCTCAAACATCTAGTACAGGTCACAAAGTAACGAAAAGAGTAATTGTTCGTAGAATTATTCGTCAGGGAGATACCACCCGAGAAGTTATTATGAATCCTGATGGTACGATAATCGATCCGGCAGAATTGGCAAAGCTACCAACTGGTAACGTTGTAAAGAGAGTTGTCGTAAAGAAGCCACTTGATAAACACCAAAGCTTGGTTCAAGCGGTGTTGCAGTCAACTACGGATATTCGGCAACCAACTACTACAATAAAAAATAACGATACAGTACTAAGCGAATCTCCGAAATTTGAATTAAAAACATCTCAGTCCATAAATGCATCGTCTTCGGTAACGAAAACAACTGTATGTCCTGCATCGAAACCTGCATTAACGGTAGGAGATCAAGAAACTAAAGAAAAATTAGAACAGCTGGAAAAGAGAGTCGAACAACAGCGCTTAAAGATTGAAGAATTAGAGGCTCGTAAGCAACAAGAATATGAACCTATTGAAGAAATGTCTCCTGAACGTCACGACGAATCCGATGATGAACAGCAATTACCATTAAAAAGAGTGTTTGTAAAGAAAAAGCAAAGTATGTACGATGAAGAACAGGAATATAATGACAATGATGTAGCAATAACTTCTGCAACGACCTCTGTAACAACTCCTGCAACGACTCCAATAACAACAATAAAAATAGATGATATTCAGCCTGAACCAGAAAAGGAGAAAGAAAAAAGTAAATCTGAGGCACAAGTAGAAAATATATCAAAGGATATTACGGTAACGCCGAAACTAGCTACTACAACAGTTGTACCAATACCAACAACGACAGCAGAAGTAACAATACCAGTAATGACAACAGCCATAGCAATACCAACAACTGTTAACACTAGAAGAGAAGGTAAACCATTGATGACCAGTTCCAAAGTCTATGGAAATAAAAAGATTATTGTTATAAAAACAGAAGAAACATCGGAAGTGGAAGAAATGAGTCGGGAATTGTGTAGTATATTGGATTCAGCTGATACTGTAGTCAAGATGCAAGAAACAGTTTTAAGTAACCTCACTCAAATATCTTCTATTGGAGAATGTTCTCAGAAGAACTATAACGACAAACAAACAGCTGGACCATCTATCTCCGAGGATTATTCAGAGAAAGAAGAGGCTGTTGTTGAAACTACTTCTCAGGATCAAGAAGATCAAGATATTAAGTTAGAGAATGCTGTTCCCATGGATGTGTCTGATCCCCAAGAATCTGATATTAAAATTGAACCAGTATCTCAAGAACAAGTTATGGAACAACCTGAACAAAATTCAAATTTGACTTTAGACGAACAAGACCTTTCAGAATCAACAGATATCTTTGAACCATCGGATAATGTATTAGAGGTACAAAAAAGTCAATTGGACGATTCTGTAATAGAACTCGAACATGGAAGTCACGCAATCAGTTTAAATGACACCAATGACAGTCAAGATAGTCTCGAAGACAAACTGCAACAAATGGAGGGTTGAACTTTCTATTAGGAAATAACGACGAATGGCGCTTTGATTTAAAATTCATATATCGCTTATTTTTTCAACCGATATCGACATTTTAAGTCATAATTTTATACGTTCAAAATTCAATCGTTATACATCTTTAATAAATACTGATAAACATTTCAATCATTAGATTCGTCAATCTATCATATAAATTTAAAAACTGATCAATGTATATCTTTCAAATTTCTTTATTTCTTCTTCTATTTTATTTTCTGTATGGCAATTGTAACATTATGTCTGAAATTTTGGACGATACCAATAACATTTAAAAATAAGTTAATGCCTAGTAATTATAATTTTCATATAAGAACGTAAATTTAGCTAGTGAAAAAAATACGTTTATTTCTATGTTCTGCACTTGTTATACAAATTTTTTTATCTTCACTAATGTGAAAATATATTATAGAAATATTAAAAAATGTCGTCGTTGTAAATTTAAGCATTCATTCTAGATATCTGTCTTATAAACTAGTATTTGTGCATGCAAATACTAAACATAAGGCATTTTTGTGTATATATGTCAACAGTAATACTATATTCGGATTTTTTATTTGTTTCAATTATAGGTAAAATTGTCCCATTTTAATGATATATTACATTTTTTTACCATTGTTATACACTTGATTCCACCTTTGGGAATTTACAAGGTAATTTAAAGGATTAAGCTTACTGTAATATTTAATCACATTATGCTAATTTTGTCAAGCTAGAATGGAAAAGGAACATAGATTATTCAATATTCTATAAACATTTCAAACCATGTATCAAATACAAAGTATGCTGTGTAAATGTAAAATTAAAAGTGTTGCTTATTTTTTGGGAATACCTTCATCGCACATATACATAGTACAAATAACACATGTCATTGTATTTTCATACAAAATATTTACATCTTATTTCATACAATTGGTTATAGCACATACTTAGATATGCATGCATTTCATTATTAATATATCCAAACATGATTAAATATGTGATATATTATTCCAATTATACTTTAATATGCAATCTATAACAAAATTACATGTATCTTATGAGTTTAAAAAATACAACAGATATAAAATATAGGAATACGAAAAATGATATTTAATTGATCATTTGCCTATAAGGATGTATAAATATTGATTAAATATTAAAAACGCATTGTCACCAGAATTTATAAATTGGATATTGCATGTTACATATTCTGATCATCTATTATACATATATAATATTAATTATATAGTTGTAACCTAGAGTATAATATATCAATGTCGATAAATAAAATACTACAAATTAACATAGATTAACTTATATTGACATTCATCGAATATGATTTTCTATATCAATGATGTATGAAATGCTAGTTCGTATATAATTTTTGATAATTTATCGACAGTTTATGAGTGTTTTATAAACGATTTCCAATAAATAGGTTGCATCTAACTGGCAGAAGATGTCGACACTATAACATTTCAGTTCGGCAGAATCAATCTTTGGCTTGCAACAACTCCGTTCGGTAAAATAAGTGTGATACAAAAGAGCGACTTAATTTACAGGTAAAGTACATGTATGTATTTAAATATAAACGAACAAATGCATAATTGTATATTCGATAAACTAAGATCATCACACGTATGATTATTAAGATGAATTGCATAAATTGAAAACAAATTACTTTGCTCTTTCCATATGACCAACATTCATGAGTATTATGTTCTCTAACTGTTTAAATATTTTCGGTTGATTACACGTTGATTAAATAACTGTAATAGCATAAAATTCACATATTTCACCCACTTAAATCATTACATAGATAACGATTCGGCAATTGAGAATGCGATGGTTAGCGATAGTTAGAGCATCAAGCGGGGTTATCTTTCCTCTTGCTGGTAAGATTCTGTAGCTGTAAAAATAACACTTCGAATATTTCCGATTTCACCGATTATCATAATTATAACATACGATATAAAAATATGATATTTCCGTCTTCGAATCTTTCTTTATGTCGGCATCATTTTTAAAGTCCACCGTGTCCGCTGTCTATGTACTCGAACTTCTGTGAAGCAAACACGATATCGAAGATTTAAAGAAGGGAAAGACAAACGACTATCCATCATGCTTATTTTCAAGGAACACATAACAGTATCAAACGTAGAAAGATTCTACAACGAAAATCATCATATCGTTCAGCCTAAAGGTAAATGCTTAGTTGTAATATTTCCATGAAACGATAACGTTTTGGTCAATTGTTTCGGTAGATATCAGCGAAGGATAATTAGAAAGAAAAATCATTTTCGTAATCGATTTAAATGTGTCGAGAATTCCGCTAAATTCTTCGTTTTTACTGTACCTCCTTCTCGTCCGTCGCGGCAACCGTGTACACTCGGTTGGAATTTTTCGACTCTTTCGCAGGACCGATTACGAACGTATAGATCAATCCAGCTGCCATACCACCAAGGATTGGGCCAACCCAATACAGCCAGTGATCCTCATATATATCCATTACAATGGCGCTACCGAGTGATCGAGCTGGATTCATACCTGCGCCAGTTCTTGGTATCTGTTAAAGCAATACAGTATAGTCAAAGGCATGTAATAAGTATTACAAGAACTTCGGAATATTCAAGTTTAACTATCGCGAATTATGAGCAGAAAAAGAGATTTTAATATATAGTAAGGAAAGAATATTTCGATTTATTTAATTCTTTGCTAAATTCGCCAAGAGAAATGTAAAAATGCATCTGGTGAAAGTCGTTGCGAGTTGTCAGAAATAATGATAAAGATAAAAATAATAAATTTTTTCTTAGAGTAATATAAAGAAGTGACATGAACCGGAGAAGGCAATAAGCTCATAGTTCGTTAAAAATATATCGCGTAAATATATTTATAATTCTCTTACTTATATTAATAAAACAATTAATCAGTATATCGTAAGCTTAGATACGAACAATTATTAAGGTGGTATCTAAAGTAGAAGAATGTATCTTACACCGACGATATGACAGACAGAAACTGTAAATCCGATTATAAGAGGAGCAATCCCCTTGCTGTCTGGTTTTGCTGCATCGCATGCACCACATACGACCAGAACCAATGCGAAGGCAAGGAAAAATTCTATACCGAAACCTTGGACAGGAGTAACGCCTGGTGAAAGAGATACTACGCCTAAAACATGTTCCATCCTCTCGGGAGATAACGCTTTTAGTATACCAGATCCTGCTACTGCGCCTATACATTGAAGTATTACGTACAGCAAGCCTCTGATAACTGGCACCTGTAAAACAAAGTAAGTGTTTCAGTACATCAGTACTAAAAGTTATTAGTTCATCAATAAAAATAATACATAAATATTTTCTGTATAACACAACGTATACGTATAACAAATTATAGTAGATTACACTAGGTACGTATTACTATTCTTCGAGATCAAATAATTCCATATCATCGTCGAATGATCGTCTATATGTCATTATGAATGAATTATCTTACAAGCAATTGTCTGACTAAATCGTATACAACAGAAGCTGAATAAATCATCGATAAATCAATCCGTTAGTAATCGATATCCAAGAAATGATCACGCGTTTCACGGTTTGTATAACAAGGCGCGAAGAATGAATCTGACCGTGTTGAATATTCTATTAATAGTTCCATGATGATTATGATATGTATCATTTATATTTTGTACGATGTTTAGGATATTTTGTCCACAAAAATATTCCACCTAGGAAGAAAGTAGATAAATATCTTTTGAGTAACCTGTGACCTACGTGTATGTTAAAAATTAGTCGACGACGAAGATTTTATGATCCTAAGAAACGATCACGATCTTCGATCATTACCTTGCCAATCACCATTAATCCGAACGTGACAGCGGGATTAACATGACCACCAGAAATATGTCCTATTCCTTGAATCGCTGCGGCTACAGTCAAACCAAAAGCCAAGCTTATGGCCACGACGTTGCCCGTGACGACAGATCCACAGCCAAAGAAGTTCAACAGCAACGTACCAAGAAATTCTGCGATCAGTGCTCGGTAAAGGCCAGCTTTTTTATTGGTCAGCTCGTTTGTACCTAAAGCCTCCTTTAAATTTGCCATCTGTAAAAAGGTTCGTCCGATTGATTTGGCTTTACCAGGCACCTACAGAGATTAGAACGTTATGTCCATTTGTTGTAATAACCGAAACGGAACGCTGTATCGGTAACCCAAGTCAGTCACAGAACGTTTCAACCATAAAAAGCAATGTCTAGTTTTTCACATAGTTTTTTATTGCCGTCTACGATTCTCATTCGTTCAATCAGCAGACCTTGAGTCACTCTTGGCAAAGGAAAAGATTCCGAAGGGCAACTCGATCCTTTTGCGCAACGTCGTTAAAGAACGGTAAACGGTCCCGTTAACTTGAAAAAAAGAAATGTAACGAAGCTGTTTAGAGGTGGGTCAATAACATCTAGAATTTTTCATGTCACAGTTTATAACGAACACATTTTCGTAACGTATCGAATGTAAAATTTCGTACCGCGGAAGTAGAATTGCCTGTATAAAAGGCTTGCACGAAGTTAACGCTGAAACCGTACCTAGGAAGTATCCTAAATTTAGAAAAACAATTTTCTTTTAATGTCCTCGTTTCACGGCTATAACTACAAGAGAAACTTGGTAATTTATTTTTATAGTTCGATTAACTTTTTTTTAAACAAGTTAACAGCTTCGATTCAAGTTTCGCCGTTCATTCTTAAAATCATTAACGAAGATCAAACGTATCGTTAGATATTTCAATTTTCGTCGTTCTCTAGGCAACTATCGTGCGTTAACACAATGCGAAATCAAACCGCGTATCAATGTCATCTTTTGTTTTTATACCTTTTAACGATCCAACACCTGTTCTGAACATTTTTTAAGCGAGATCAACTAGAGAGAAACGAGTGTTCTTCGCTGTTCGTTACGGAAGATAGGAAATCCTCCCGCATTGAACGCGTTATCCAGAGATTCCATTCCATTAATTCTCGAACGGACGAGATCATTTCTGATCCATCGTTCATTAACCACTTTGAAAGTTTAGCAGTTCCGTCGATTCGCGTCATAGATTTAGATCGAGGCCGCGGGCATGTACATACATATGCATGTACATACGCACGGTACGTCGCATGTGTAGTCCGTACCGTTACGAATTACGTTGGAGAAACGAATCGTTAGGTTAACGAGAAACGCATCCAGGTTGCATTAGGCTCAAGTGCAGATGAACGGTTTGCGTCGATGTCACCGCCTCATTTACGCATTTTTCTTGCAGTTTACAAAAGCGCTTTTTGCGTTAATTCCATTTTCGTATCGCGTATTTGCTCGGTTACAATTTAGCCGTGGATGCGGCAACCCGTTATCAAAATTACAAAAGAACAATTAATAAAAATAGTTAATAAAAGAATAGCAAATAAAAAAATTCTTTAAATATAAAGAAATACTTTCATCGGTGTCAGACTTTGCAAAGACAAACGAGAAGAGACGAAACAGAGAATGAGACAAATTTTGTAATTATTTTCGCACGACTGTGAAATCTTTTGACGAATTAAGTGCAAAAATTTATGAAAATTGGATGTAGAGTCCGATTGCTGCGTAAACCACTTGTGTGAATTGAGTTATATGAAACGATGTAGCGCTTCACCACCGAAGGTCAATATTCCGATTCGCAGCCAAGCAGTGGAAGCTTTTGTCTTGATAGACTAAAACTTGCCGCTGCTCAAAGTTATGCCCCGCGCCATTTATTTCGTATAAATCTATACTGTTCTAAAACGCAGCGGCAAATTGACGCTAACGTAAACCGCTTGTCTGCGCCGGGCCTTACTCATGCAGATCGTCATATCCTCGACAAGTATGACAGGCGGTCCCAATCGCTACGAATTACTTAATCATTCCCGTTAAAATACCGCCCGAGTTAATCGTCACCCACGCCACCGGCGCGTCATTGCGTTTTAAGCCTCGCGCACTTGACGCAAATATCTTAACGCGGATCTAGGTCGGTCATCTTCTACCCTTTCCTAATTTCCGTCCTGCCTTCCACGATAAACGAGTTCGTTACGGCCCATTTTCTAATAAAACTCTCGCTCGAGCTTCTCGTTTCAGCGAATATCCGCGGGTGGATTGCGCGACGAGGGAAGCGAATAAAATTGCAAATAGGATGAAAAGGAACGAGAAGACAATACGAGGAATCGTCAATGAGTTTACGTCCGAGACGAGTGAAAAAACTCGACGTTCAGTCGGTTCAATAATGGATTTAATTCGGATGAGATCATCCATAGGCAAAAGTAAAGACTGCGACATGCCATTCTCATCTCGTGCAATTTCCACGCTGCAGACTGTGTCACGTGCACGATAATCGTTTACAGCTACGAAAACTTGTGACTTCTATAGATAGAAAGATACACCGGGATGCGAGTATAAAGGTAAAGGATCTCTGGAAATCTTTGCTTATAAAAATTACTCGTCGAGTATCGACGTGTATGGAACGTGAAACGTTCACTCACGTTTTATTTATTTGAATAGTACTGTATGTGTCGAACGTTACGGTAAACGGTAGTTTGATCTTCCTTCGTTACACAAACGGTAAAGTAAATAAAATGCGGAAAAATGTTAAGCGAAGCTACGTTATTTACTTTATCTGCGCTCGTAAGTCCGCGCTTTGACTCGCGTATGTGGCCACTCCTTTACGTAAAAAGACAAGGGAAATACATCCATCGTTGATACCATAAATAGTTGGCGATGAAACATTTCATTCCGATTATTTTACGTAAAATGATATTTACAGAAACCGTTAATGACATCATCCGTTCGCTGATATTTCGATCTTTCTTTCTTTTTATTCTTGTCATCCGTTTCCAACTTCATTCGTTTCGTACATATTTGATCCTCGTAACGAAATTCCAGGCAACGGACTGACTGTTTGTGCAAATAAGTTATTGATCGTAAAGCTAGCAGATCGACTACTCTCCGACCAGACGTCTGGTACGCGTGTCATTAAAAGTGTCGTTCAAACTCCGTTTACCTTTGTATTGGGGGTGTTCGATTCTTTCTGCTGATGTCACGCCTCGAGATTATTTCTTCCTTGCGCGCAACGCAACTCGATCTAACGATTTGCATTCTACAAATTCAAGGGGTTTCTGGTTTCCACGCGATACTCTTTCCCTCTGTTCGGTAAACAACGACAACCGATTCACGATTTTCTCCTTTAAAGAGGAAATAACGACAACGATTCTCGCTTCCATATTATATGAAGCCGTCGAAGGTTGTAACAGACGTTGAATAACAATTTTTTATGACCCGTTCGTGTATAATTTTAATTCACTAGGCGCTTTTCTTCATCGGCTTTCATAAAGCCATTAGATTTATAGCCTCCGTATAGTTTCCCCGCGACTGGTTCTCGGAATTAACTATTGCAAACAGAATCATTCACCTTAGATTCCAAGTGACCTCGTTAAATTACGTGGTATTTTTCTCTGGCTTTTATTACATGGTGCACAACATTATACGAAGATATCGTTTTGCGTCCTTTCCTGCATATCGTTTAACCGGATCTATAGCGTCACGACGAGGGAAAAGATGAAGCAAGAATTCATCGATTTTCTCGCTCAGGAATGGTAATTACGCTGAACGTATCTGTACATTGAAATTTCGTCTCTTTTTATTTTTCATTGCTTTTTTATTCCTTTTTTTTTTTTTATTTTTGTACCCTTCGATCGGATTCGTGAAAGCAGCGGAAGCCGGTCGATTTCACATAGATCGGTTGTTACGTCTTCGACGATTTATTGTCGTGCACTCCTCAACCATGATGGTCGTTACCCTTATACGGTTTAGTACAGGTGCACGATATCTCTCCTTATCTTTATTCATTTCTTTCTCTCTTATCCTGCTTTCTGTAATCGGCAATAAAGAAGACGTTAAAAGTTTTCTCGTTATATCACGTTAGCTTAATACGTGTATTTGAAATACAGCGTACGACGAGCTTTCTTCTTTGACAGTTTGCCATTACTATTATTCCTGGCAGATCTTGTACAGCGTAGGCGTGATTCCTCGTCGATAGATCCAGCATTTTGATGTATTTGTGTCATATGCAAAAACATGTAATAAAAAATATTCAAAGTAAAAGAATATATTTGTTACGATATTTAACAGGCGTAATAAATCTTTATGTAAGTTACATTCCCTCAGTTGTATCAATGGAAATACGAAATTGCGTAGAAGTCTACGATCTATTCGATATAAGTTTCTCTCCTGTGTCTCTTTTCGGTGAAAATGAATTTTGAACAGTCGCAAAATATACGTGCACTCGACCACGGATTGATTTGATGGAATTGTTCAATTTCTTTTCATAAAAGCATGCGATCTCCTTTAAAGCTTCCGAGGAGGTAGCGAACGCCACTCCTGCCCCGGCTGATACTACTGATTCTGTTTTACAGGCGAGCTAATGGACAGTAATTCTACTGTCACAGCAACGTTGTTATTAAAGCGTCTTCCGTCATTTTTAGAAGACGCATACAATGTAACTGTTGTTGTTTGGTTAACCCATTTATCTCTCATGAAACTATTTCGAGAACATGTAATATCGATAGGCGATCTACGATTATAGATTTCGAAATTCTATTAATTACAAATTTTGCACGAATTATATATGTGCTAATATAAATTCTTTATTTAGAAAATTGCAATTATTTTTATCTCTAGGCTGAGTACTTCTTGAATAGTTGCCACGCAACGTATACAATACACAAGTATACATAAGATGTGCATAGGCATCCACAATCCGCGGTTTAATTGTAGATATTTCTATTATGTATATATAATTAGTAATTATCTCGCGTAATCATATTTGTTGTTCATACGCAAGAAGTTACTTGGCTACGTTCGAAATGCAAGCCTATAACGAAATAAAACTCATCGTGTACAATATAATTTCGCAATGAAACAAATATACATACATATACTACGGCGAAAAGTAATTTGAATAAATTTTATCTAGAGTCCGGATTTATCAAGCTTTATTTGATAAACATAATAATGGTACTCGCTAACGATAAGTTTCCTTGCGATGCGTACGATGTCGAGTAAAAATAGAAATATCGCTTTAACGTTTATCATTATGATTTATACCATGTACTGTTATTGCACTTCATTAAGACATTCGTTAATCACTCTCCATTGTCACAACCATTCTCATATTTTACATCACACTATTTGTAATATAAACTTTCGTTCGCTGTTCCTTCGTTTTAATCGCACTATGCTTCTGGCATCTTTCTGTCTCGTAAAAACTTGCACGACTCAAACAACAAGCTGACTTTTCGTAAACATCGTACTGTTTGTGTAACGAAAGCCGTATTATATATTTATATTTACATTTGGTAAACGAAATTTAATCTCACGTTAATGTGAACGAAAATATCAACTAAATCGATATACAAACGTCAAAGCTGTGAAGTAGCGAAGTCACAAGAAGGATCTCGAGTTAATTCGGATAAATTAACTAAAATATCGATGGAAATATAAAGAAAGAAGCTTACCTTGAAGATGGTCCGAGTCAATGCAGAAGCTAGGTAGTCGCTTTTGAAAGTTTTCTGTGATTTTTTCAGCAACGGATCCTGTCACAGGCTTCGCAGTAGTAGCTCTCGGAAAAGCGAATGCTCTGCAAGAGTTACCGAACGACAACTGTCGAGGCTGCCGAGCATAGAAACCAACTGGTCTCACGTAGGTATCTAACTGCGTCTGTTCTGGTACTCTGCTAGATGCTACCAGAGTAGGGATATCACGGTTAAAACGAACGACGATCTCCAGGTAACAGCGTTGTTTTGATTTTGCTGCCGCACGAAACATAACTCGATGCGAAACAAATGCGTATTGTATCATTCGGTTAGCAAATATTAGAATTTTCTACCCTTCTAGGAATTATATCTATGTCTTTGAGTTTGTCTTTTGTGTATGATTAACGCTATATGGCAGTTACATTTTCCTTACCTATCAAAATTTCAATATTTTTCCATCTAAACTAACCATCTAACTAATATTTTTTCCATCTAAATTTGTTAAGCCTATCTATCGCCTTTTACTGTACTTCGTTTCAATTATTATTGTTACAGAATCAGAAGCAGGATCGTAACTAATTAGTGTGGTAAAGAAGAGCAGAATAAAATTGAAAAATTTTCTAATTTAATTTAAACACATGTTGTGGATATTACATGTTACAAGCGTAAAGGTGTTACACGTTAAAGGCGCGAAATATGGCGAAGATCGGAAAGACAAGAAATTTATTGAATCGCATGCGCTCCGACAGTAAACGTATTTAGATATTGCTTTATGGCAGAGGTGCGCCTATCTCTAGATGGTTCTACTTTATTTGTAACACGTTATTTGTACCATTGTGTTCTTACTATCAGCGATGACGCGATAATTAAACGGAATGAGAGTAAAACCAATGTCCTTCATAGGCTAACGAAGGAAATTGAAAGGAAGTTTTTATAATACATGGAGATGTGAAAGAACGAGCAAATAATAATGCTCGTGACACGTATCGGTGTATATTTATATATATACACGCGTAATATATTTCGTTAAAATTATTCGGAAATTACAAAATAATAACTTGCTATATTTTCCGCGCGATCGATGTTTTCCTTTTTCTTAGTATCGTATCTGTCGTTGTCGATATTTGCAACAAGCGAGTTCGTGTTTTCCAATTAGAAAACGGAAACGTAGTCGACAACGAGATTTCCGCGCAGAACAGCCGATGCAGAACGTTACGAGTTGCGTATTCGCGATTACATTCGAGGAAAAACCTCTAAACTCGACCGCAGATCTATTTCTTTTTCGCGAAATATAATTAGATAAAAAACAAATCGTTTGAGGAAAGAAAGGAGAACAACAATTTACTATCAACCTTGATGCAAAGAAATACTTAGAAATTACTACATCCGTTGATTAATCTCGCCAAGTGCACAATTAGTATTTTTTATTGAAGCAGTGACATTTTATTGAACTCATGACGCAACCTCGATTTCGATTTGATTCTTTGAAACGAAAATAGGTCGGTTTCAGTATTTCAACTTCTAGTATTTTGACTCTGCCACGATCCTCGAATTTTTATATTTTAAACTCGCACCGATTTTAAGAAATAACAAGAATTTGTAACGTTCAAAGAAGATTCAACTTGAAATTGAAACTGGAAAAATAACGATAAGGATTCTCTCGTCTGTTATCGAAGCACGAGATATTTTCTACCTTTAGAAAAATACAATTGGGTCGGAAATAACCGAAGAAACGTAGCAGGGTTAAATATTTTTTACTAACAACTTCAGGAACAATAGTAACACGCGCGTGACCACGTACCCCTGAAAGCTCTTACCTGCGATTTGTATGCAACGATACAATGCTCTCTCTCTCTACTGTCGTACTTCGATCATATGTCAGATTGACAAGTTGCTGGGTTTACCCCCTTATTTGTTCAGCATTCTTTCTTAACGTTCAACGTTCACGACGATTGGCTACAAATTTAACGGTGCCCGTGCAGGCCATCCGTATCTGTTGCCATACAGACAGTGTCGAGCGTGAATATATTCTTGCATTACGTTCGTCAAAAGCGAAGGAACCGTTAAAGATTGTCAGATCGCAGTTATCGCTGCAAGGAAACGTCATTACGTCGTTAGGAATAAATTTCTGTTTACGTAGCATAACTCCTTGAAAAGATTATGCAATTTACGAAAGGTATATGTTCGCGGTTAATTACAATCAGATATAAAAATAATCGTACAGGATGAACCGTTTAGTGTTACAAATTGATCGAATGGCCAATCTGCATTTCTAAACGCAACGTTGCACGCCTCCGCTGATTCTCTACTTGAGAATGATTTAATTCGTCCATATATCAGGTGCCTTAACGAGATTAACTTGCCGCGTTATGTTAATTAATCTTGAGTGGTTTCCTATAAAAAGACCATTATACGTTAATCAAACATCGTGTACCGTTCCTTCGTTATGTTTGTTTATTAATAATGTCACAATTAGCTAATCTCTCCCGTGTCATTTGGCTCGCATCTTATCGTCATTAAACAAATTCATTTCTTCGATACCAGACAAATCGCAGAAGCGACAACCATATATATTTATCGTAACGTCGTTTCGAATCGAACGAAATTAATGACGGCCTTTTCCAATAATAATTTTTCATAAGGCAAGTTGTTCATTTCGAAAATCGTACTATACCGTTCCCTCTAGTTCTTTTTTAGATCGACGGTAAAGTTCAAGGTCCTCCGCATGATGGTGCACACTCAAAACTTGATACGAAGTCGTTCATGGAAGCCTCTGTTACTTTACAGACCTAGTATATGTATATAGGGTGGATCAAAAGGACGGAATATTTTAAAGAGTTAAATGTATGGTATAAAACTTAAGATTAAATTATTAAAACTTAAATAATAATAATAATATACGCGCCTAAAATATACGCTACATATATATATACTAAAATTGTATATGTATACAGTTATTTAAACTATTTCTGTACCTCGGATATGTCAGTTTCAGATTCTCAGAATTTCGTGAACCACTAAAAATTATCTCGTTCAAGAGATATTTCGACGGAAGACATTCTTTTTCTTTGTCCACCCTGTACGTACGTGCGTAATAAGCCTGCGTACGTTCCTGAGAATGTGATAGTACAACAGGATCATCATCATCATCATCGTCATTATCGTTATTAGCACTCCTTCTACGAGTTCACCACTGTCAACTGGTTCATCGTCTTGTTGTTTTTCCGCAGAACATATATCTGGCTGATAAGAATGTATTTCTTCGCGTACACGCGCTCTGTATGTTATACACACGAACAATCGTTCTCACAACGCGCACATAGGTCGCTACTGGCAATTATCTTGCCCCTTACAAACGCGTCGTTCTTTTTCTCCACAGAAATCTAACTATTCTTCAATGTCGATGAACCATGTATGGCTTGGAAGAAGATGAACGTTTCAACGACGCGCGTTCCCTGCGCGAATTTCGAGTTTCGACCACTGGATGCTCTGGAACGGCAAAAGGAATAATAGGTAAGATCGCATTGATTCTCGGAGAAGAGGTGTGCACGAAATTTGTAGCACCGACGCTGTTATGTGTCAGGCATTAAGAAGTCGGAATGTAATGAGAAACAGCCGCCTCGCCTTAAACACACCCTAATCTCCTTTTGGTTCTCAATTTAGAGCATGTATGTGCTTGTTCGAGGAACACCTTCTCTGTCGGCCTTGACAAAGCCCTGTTTCGACGGTACAAGTTCATTAATCTTCGGACAAAGTATCCTTCGCGAAAAGAAACGAAGTCGTAGAAATTGGATCGAGAGGCTCCGCGGACAAGAAGCACATGCCACGATACTATAAATTCATAGAAAGATCGAGCAAACCACTCTCGAACGTTATCGACAAGCTGAGAATTTTTATGCATTTATGAGATATATAAAAAAACAATGCGTGATATGCGAAAAAATATAAAAAATATCCGAAGCAAAATTATGCAGGTTAAAGGATGAGACGAATCCTTATACGCGTTCTGTTTCTTTAATTATCTCCGTAAGGATACGTATTTGCATGAAAACCTTCAGTCTGATCGTTGATTGAGTGATTTCTAATCTTAGAATCTACTTTTGTATCGTTATCAGTCAATTGATAGTACAGAGAACCAGTAACCGAAAATGTAGACGTAGCATGTGCTGTTTCTCTATCGAGTTCCTCGATCTAATTAAAACAGTGTGTACCAATTGAACGGCGCAAATGATTTACTGTTCGGTATAATTGTTCGAAGTAGTTGTCATTAGATTAATGGTAGCAAGTCATACATCATGTTAGTACATCCGTAGATGTCGATGAAAGTGTATGATACTGCAGAAATAGCGGAACGTAGATATGAAACTTTAATAATTGTACAATTGTTCTGTTTGCGTGCATCAAGTATTACGATAAAGGATTTATGTCTGTAAAATATAAGTATCGTGCAATGAACAATGATTCTTGTAACTTCTCTCGCTTTAAAGAAATTAAAAAAATTCAATTTTTATTTATCTCTGCGCAAATTGCATTAATACCTGTAATTTTATAAAATATAGTTTTATACGATAATCGTACCGCTAAATTTAAAAAATGCCGCATTAAACTGCGATAGAAAACACGAACCGTAGCGTCGGAATCTTATCTTATTTCATTATACGTATACATGTATGGCGCATTCGCCGTGCGAGATACGCTCGTTATATTGTTCTATGTAAAATCTCTGTTACATTGTACATATTTTACCTTTGATGTTAAATAACATTTTCTGTATCACGATAACCGATAACAGACGCGATATTAACGATTGATCGTTGTTACCTTGAAATATCTCGTCTCGTTCAGCAACAAAATAATCGCCAAAGTAAACTTTTACGTAAAAGTGAGTTGTTATCGCGAAACAAATGCTGAAACGATCCCAGTATCGAGCGTAGATCGTCTAACGAGTGCAAGACACTGCAGGTGTGACGTTCCATCGCGCCTCCTTCTCATTGTATCCATCGACTGACCTTACGTATGCTAATTGTCGTGGTTTTATCTGCACGCGAACTCGCTATCGCTGTAATATCAGTTAACGGATCCGATATAGGCCACGAGAAAGGTGCAAGGATTGATTTATGTCGAACGTAAAATACTCTTTCACGGCCGCATTCAAAAAGCTTGGTCTCTATGTCGGCTATGGTTGAATAAATTCTTTTTTACGCGTTTCGCCTAAACGAGATTCTTTTTCGATGCAACGACGATCCACTTGCGAATCGTATCAGCGAGATCTCGGCCAGCCGTTAGCCGGTAGACGTGAGACGTTGCAGGCGATGACCGGAAGTCGCGGTCGAAGACCGTCCAGACGACCTTCCAACCATACTCTTATCAACGTCCTTAATATCGTCGAGTCGAAGTTGGAATTAGTTTGCTAGAAGTTTCCATCGTAATAATTACTTGAGAATACACAAGGGACCAGTGCACACTACCATCGACAAGGGTTGATACAGTGGATACTCGTTAGAAAACCATTTCATAAAACGAGTAGATAAATTCGCGCGATAACCGACGATCGGTGGCCGAATAATGTTTTATTCCTTTCTATTTTTTTTTTTTTTTTTTTTTACTAGCGTTTTATTTTCGTTTGAGTCGCAATAAAATATTACAGTACAGATAGTTCGTTTTAAAGGATAACGAACGAACAAGCGATGGATCATAGATCGTTTATGATAAAACGAGCCGTGTACTGAAATGCGATTAATAGCGTACGTTCGTCCAATTTCAGAGCTATGCAATTTTCTGAGCTAGCGTATTCTCGATTCAGATTGTACTTATTAAGGTAGCGCTTCTAGTGGCTCGTTAGAAGTTCCAAGAAAGGAAAAAAAACACAGACAGCGCGCGGAATAACTCGAGGACTGTGACGGACGTCGGTCTAGTCGAAAGCATCGCATTATCATAGGAGGAAGATTGATCACAGTACACGGTTTGTGTTTTCTGTTCAGTGACCATCTTCGCGTCACGCAATTGCGGCAGGGTTGCTGTCAAGGGCATCGTGTACATGAGATCTTGGCGCTCGGTTGGTCACGCTATATTCACAATTGGCGAACATCTCGTAGTTGGAATCATTGTTGGAACGTCCGGCTTCCCCCGCATGTCCATTCACGCGCAGTTTGTCCTCATAGAATTTCGCGGGTTAACCCCGATCCTCTGGCGTAAACTCCGACACGTGGCCGCGGTTTAGGCGAAGTGCGCAGTGGCGAGGTTCATAGTTGGACGAAGAGACACGACCTAGGCGAAGAGAATCGCCTTCCTATAAGTCGACCGAGGGATGCAACGTTCAGTAGGCAATAGACCTTCCTATCTACATCTTTGGCACGAGTTTTTAACTATACAACCGACCGCCAAGCAGTTGGCGCGAAATCCTGTGAGTGCAATTTACCGTCACCCTTTTAGAAAAGTGTTTGGCTATTAATTTCTATCATTTTGTGCTGTACAATCGTAACGTACATATTTTATTTCGATGCTAACTAGTTCTTTTTTATTTTTACGATTTTTTCAGAAGCGACTCGGTGATTAAATTTTATTATATACTATTTTCGCGCAGATGCTTATCTTTCCTGCGACTAGAATATAAGTCTAAAAAATGAAAATTTAGCTAGTCAGATTACATCGGCAAGCATGCAACAACGAGAAACGTTAATTTCGTATTACAGAGTTAATTGTCCGAGAAGGGCGTAGAGGAATTTACTCGTCCGGTTTAGTTTCCTTTCGAAAGTGTAACGCGCATAGGATGATAACGATGCATTGATAACGATTGAGTTCAATTTTATCAAACAATGTCTCGAGAATATAAAATGGGAGAACACGGTCGCGGTGTATTTATATCGTAGGAAAAGTGCGTATGATATTTGAGAAAATTTTATCGTGCCTTGAAAAGTCTAATCACAAAAATTCTTTCCGCATTTCGTACTTCGTATTTCCGTATTTTAAGAATAAATCTGAAATTTAGTGTTTTATCGTCTGTAGAATGTAACTGTGTAATGTATTGAACAGTATTTTCCATTAATATCGAATACCGGAACGAATGTATGTTTACGGTAGGGGAAAAAAGCATTTCGCTTAGAATATATTCGTCGCATAAAAGAGGCGTAACGATCGACCACTTTTCGCGACTGACCGTTGGAAATTTTAATAGCTAAAATCGATTTTATTCGTTTTGTTTTTACCTTCGCTGGCACGTATTTTTACAGACGGTTGATTCCTGTGTTTGACAAACATCGTTCCGGTATCGAAAATTACCGCTAACATTTGCAATACGTTGTCAGCTAGGATGCTAATAGATCGAATTTAAACGTCGAATTAGCAATATCACTAATACGATCCGGAAACACGATCGGACAAACACACATCCAATAGTATCACGGAACGTTCCTCACCGAACGAAATTAAAATTTCTGTTAATTGCACGCGTATTTACTTCGACAACAGTCATGAATGTAAATTGCGTTCGTTCGTTAAATATTTATTTTAGCCGATATATTACTTGTCTTAAACATTTACAGTGACAATGAGAAACTCGTGTTACAGGAATAGAGGATGGATCAGAGCATGATCCATCAGTACGTGATTTTTAAATTAAATTGCCTTTAGAATGATATTTGAATTCAAATTAAAACAGTGATTCACAGTGATTTTCAGAAAATTAGATTGCAATTAATGATTCAAAGGTGAATAAATTTCAAAATCTGCAAATAAGTATTCTGTGTTGTTCGCAGTTTTACAAGTCGACTGGTAATATGAATGTGTCTACCGTATTTCCGGAAGGACTTACTGAAACCGAGAGATCGCAACGTCATGCATCAGTGAGCGTAAAGGATGACGAAGACGTTCAAGATAGGTATAATCGTAAGTACCGCCAGATTCTAATCTTCTTCTATTGTAACGACACACATGGTAATTTTACATTACGAATTTAGTCATCGCGTTACACTCTCTTCTATGCTATCTTACATCACTTTTAATTCATAATATTGTATCAAGTTGTTTCACAATTTGCGTACTCCGACACGGCAGCTTGCTATAACGTAGATTTATATAGAACATCGCATAACGTGTAACGTAATGAGTAAAGGCTGACTTTATACGCGCAATTAGATCGAAAATGTTAGGGGGACTCGACGAAAACGAAAGGTTTCGTCCGCGAAGCACTGACAACGGTATAAATAAATGTTAGTTTCATATAATATAGATTTTCTCCTAGAGATAATGTAGACAAAGCTCATGATGAACCTGGCGTTAATGTGCGGAACATTCGCACAATTTTGAGATAGACTTGTCAGATTCAAGATCAACAGTGGTAGTCTAGAAATCTACTTTGGAAGCATTAACAGTAATAAATTTGTCTCGCACGTGTGAATAAATTGTAAATAATTTCGATCTGTTCGTTGCAATAACCATTTTACATATTATGTAGGTATAACTCCATATATTAAAACGAAACCTGGCTATTCCTACAAGTCTTTTGTTATATCTTTCGTTGTAATTAAGTAACGTTCTAATTACTAAATCGCGTAATTTCGATAATTACACTAAGTAAACGACCAACTGCTCTGCACGATTTTACATGGAAGAACTATTACCTGTAGTGTAGGATGGAATATAGTAGGAAGTAATATAAATTCGGTAGCACCTATTAGCATATTGGTGCGTGACATTTCCACATAACGCAAAGGTGTGGAAATGTACGAAACGAGAGACTTGATGCACGGCATTACAAAACCAGTCAATACCGACAAATGTATTTCCGGTGAGAAAAAAAAAAAGAAAAAAGCACGTGATCGCTATCGATTAATTTGATATGCGATTATTTCATGGTGACGCATCTTGCAAGGAACAACCTTATTTACGTTTACATGGACTCGTATGTCCTTCGA